AGGGAAAGGAAGGAGACTTTTATATTTTATTTTATATACTCTGTATTGTTTTGTTTCCAAAAGGCAGTGCTACTTTTGTGATTTACCTAAATAAGGAAAGAAAAAAACAACTTTACAAACTATATCATTTCCAATAAGAATCCCTAAACTTCTATAACACTGTCTCACATTACAGAATCACCTCCTAACTTGTGTTACAATGATGTGTGTTTACATCGCATCTCTGTTATACACTGAGCAGCTGTCCACCACTCTGGCTCCACTTTCCAGGGACAGAATTCTATCAGCAAAGAATAAGACAGCAATCAAAATGGCAACCAAGCAATTTTTGCAAGGATAAAACCATCAACCAAAGTAAGAGTGAACAGTTCTATTAATTAGTACAAGAACCATAGCAATGGGAACCCAAGGCCAAGTCAAAACTACCCTAAAACAAAGTGTCCCTCCCGGAAACTGTGGAGGCTCTGGATCTGTGTGTCTCAGTCATGTTGCGTGCTCTGACGCAATGTAACTTCTCTCTGCTGCCTCTGAAAAGACTGCCACATATTACGGCTCTGATGCGGGGGTATGCACATACAGGGTTCATCTCGAATGGAGCAAATGGGATGCAAAGATCCTGTAAGTTCATATTCTCAATAATGCTTTCCAAAACCCTCAATTTAAGAGCTGGATTTATTCTCCTACCTGAAATAAACTAAAACCAAAGCCAGACAAAATATGTAAAAAAATATTATAACAGATGGAGGAATGTGAATGACAGTGAATCATCAGAGGAGAACTTTCAATATAAGTGGAGAGAAAAGCTACTTACTTAGGACAGACACAGGGAAGGGATCAAGAGATGAGCAAAAGTGAAAGAATAAAAGCAGAAGGTGGCCAGAAAAAGATCAAAGGCCTCAAGATTCCACAAGAAATATAAGAGCTAGGTTAGAACTCGATTTCTCACAGTCCAAGGTACAGAGGACTGTCAGTGTGGGGCTGATACCAGGGTGTTCTCCCCAGCTCTCTTCCTACTGCCACTCTCCACACCTAATCTGTTAGCATTCTTGTCAATTACAACTTCAAAACACGTTCAGAATCCAATCATGTCTCACCACCTACACTGCTACTGCCCTGACCCAGGCCACTATCCACTTTCACCTAAACAGTCAAGGACCTCGACACCTGCCCAATTACAACCTCACACGCTTCCTGCCTCCCAGCCCCAGACAGTCCTCCACGTAACACGTATCACCCAGTAGGGGACTAAGTCCAGGTACCTGGTTATTGTCTGTCTCCTCCATGAAAATGTAAGCTCTACACAGACAAGGTCTTTCTTTTTGCTGTTACATTCCTAAAGGTGAGGACACTGCCAAGGTATATCAACACCAAATAATAATGTCAAATGAAGGAAATAACAGGTTATGAAATTATATGTTGTATACCCCTAGAAAATGAATAAAGGAATTCTATGTTCCTTGTCAGTTGATGGGCCTTTAGGAGAGCTAGGGATCTGTAGGTCATACTGTGAGAAACGTCATCTTGCTTTGTCACCTATTGCTCAATCTATAATGGCATGTACATAGAAGATCCATAAGCATCAGCTCACTGAATGAAAAGCAAAGTGAATATAAAATAGGTTTAATGTCATATGTGGTGTCTAGGACTAGCCTAGATAGAACACTCTGATGCTTTTGTAACTCCTAGCCCAGGAGTAGATGACTGATAGGGTAGATGTTCGAAGACGATGTGACGTCTAAAAGAAAATTACTGTTTAACATGGATCTAAACCAATTCTGTGCCAGCCATGAGAAACACAGAAATTCTAGTCTTCAAGGAATTTCCCTACTTGCATTCCTATTAGTTTGTGAATAAGTTCAAGTAACTTAGGTATGGGATAATTGTTGGACCAGCAGATGGTGTAATGGTTACTTTGCTGGACTCCCACGTAGTCAACCTCCGGTTTCACTCGTGGACCCGGTAGCTTCAAACTCACATCAGGCACATGCACACCCAAAATTCTGAGAAAAGAATGAAGGAGAAGGGATTGCAGCATGGCCATCCCCCCCAGGAGGATGATTTTTTTGCTTGCTGGAGCGCTCGCTCTCTCTCTCTCTCTCTCTCCAGTAAGTGCACATTCCCTATAGCAAAACTCTCTCTTAAAAAAAAAAGAGATAATTGCTCTATTAGAAATGGATACAAGAAACTTAGAAGGAAGTGAAGGAGGTTAGATGATCAAAGAAAGACTTCTCACTTCAGCTAAATCTTTTATAAAAAATTATTTCTTTTATTTGCTGTTATTATTTTTTAAGTTTGCTATAGGATACATGTGCTCATGAGACAGAGAAAGAGAGAGAGAAAGTGAAAAAGGAAGCCACCAGATCCACGACTCAAACCATGGTCAGCCATGTGGGAGTCCAGCACCTTCACTACCACGCCACCTGCTGGCTCCTGAGCAAAATCGTATCAGGAAGAATTTACCAGTTTAGAAAAGGCTCATTTTGGGAAACAGCAGTTAGCGTAATGGCTATGTCACTGGACTCCCATGTAGTCGACCGCAGTTTGCGTCCCGGATCTGGTGGCTTAAAACTCACACTGTGCGTGCGTGCCCAAAATCCCGAGAGGAGTATGGAGGAGAAGGGATTGCGGCGTGACCATCCCCCCTGGGAGGTGATTTCTCGCGTTCTGTCTCTGTCTCTGTCTGTCTGGCGAGCGCACGCACCCTATAGCAAAAATCTCTCCAAAAAAAAAAAGAAGAAGAAGAAGAAAAGGCTCATTTAGGGAAAAAGGCATAATCTGGGAAAAGGCGTAAAACACATTAATAAATAATTTCGGGGGGGGAGAGTTAGTAAAAAAATGGAAAAATAGAAACAAATTACAAAACACTTTCCTTTTAAGGACAGAGCCTGTCCTGGACCCTCCTCTCAAACTACCCCTTTCTCTAGTAAGATGGGAAGTCCAAAGGGGCTTGACAGATTTAAGAAACATCAAATAAAGGGTCCAGCAAGTGGCGTGGTGGTTAAGGTGCCAGATTCCCACATGTTCAACCATGGGTCAAGTCCTAGACCCAGTGACTTGAAAATTACACCGGGCATCATGTGTGTGTGCATACCCAAAATCCCAAGAGAAGAGTAGAAGGAAAAGGACTACAGTGTGGCCATCTCCTTTGGGGAGTGATTTCTCACTTTCCTTCTCTCTCTCTCCCTCTCTCTCTCCAGTGACTTCATATGCCCTATGGCAAAAACCTAAAAAAGAAAACAAAATTACAGAATCAGGGAGGGGAAGGTAAAACATTTATTCCAAGCCAGGTTGTAAAATGTATGCTGCACCATTACCTGTTGCTGTCAGCACCTACAAGGAAAAATGGGCCCAACAGCGGCTCCGCCCAAGCTTACCAACCTGCTTCTGTGAGGTTTTTCTGTCCTCGCAGCAAAGGGCTCCATAACTTGAACTCATTTTGTGCAGAGAAGTAATAGGTAGCATTTCTCATTTAAACCATGACTTAAACCCTATCTCAAGATTTATCTATCTTTATTTTCTAATTAAAATAAAAAAAAGAGGGGAATAAAGGACAATAGAGATTACACTATGTTGACACAGACCTTAAATTCTAGGCAAAATTAAGACCCACATTAAAGGCTAACTGATGGTTTAAAGAAAATAACTATATGGAGTCTGATCAAAATGTATATGAACCAAGTCTCAGTATTAGACTCAATAGTGTAAGAAAACAACTCTCGACAAAGTTGGAGTCCGCAGTTGTCACGTGTGCGCTATCGGGCGCAGCAGGTCAAAGTCTGGAGAAACGAGTTCTCTCTCCCGCCTCATGTCGAAGGCTTCTGGTTCAGTATAAAGAGCGGCTCCCACTGCCACATGGTGCCTGTAGTTCACAGGTGAGACTAACACTGGAATCGCGTGGAGAACTTGGGAGATACGGGCACAGTCAGAGGCAGGTCACTCGGCTTTACCTCGACAACCTGGTACTTGCGTATTGGATTTGCCTTGTGTACCTGCAGAGTAAGGGGAAAAAAGTTACCACCAAGAGGAACATTAAAGAACTATGCTTACAGTTGTTTTTATTTCTCGAAAATAAAAATACAGTTTTATAGATCCTAAATCACTAATTTAAAAGAGCAGAAATGCAGTATAATGTTAAAGTAAAATGGGTTTGGAGCCCACATAGGTTTCCAGTCAGGTCTTTGCTGGGTCCCTCAACTTTCACTAATGAATGCCAAACCTGTCCCTAGTGTGATTTACTAGGGTATGCTGGGGCTGTACTCAATTACAGCAGAGAAGAGTTGTAAGTTACAAATTTGCCAGAGTAGAATCTGGAGCTCACTGACCCTCAACATTCACCAAAGCAATGGGTAAGACTAAATGCAAAAAACAGAAATAATAACCAAGAAGGGTTGATAGAGAAGCCATGATCCCACCCATCCTTTTGGGTAGTCTGAAATCAATCCTGCTATACTAAAAATTACTATATCCCACAAATGAGTACAATTATTTTGTATCAATTAAAAAATAAAAAGAGCCAGGTGATGGCATGGTAGTTAACAGTGGATCCCACATGACCAACTGTGTGGTTTGAGTCCCAGACCCAACAACTCATAAAATACACTGGGTACATGTGTGTGCACATGCATGCCCAAAACTTAGAGATGAAAATGCAGGAGAAGGGATTGTGGCATGGCCATCCACCCCAAGGGGTGCTTTCTCACTTTTTCTCTGTCTCTGGTAGGTACCAGTACCATGTGACATTTCTTTTTTTAAAGATAGATTTTGCTATAGGGCATGTGCACTGGCCTAAGAGACAGAGAGAAAGCAAGAAATCACAACCCCTTGGTGGTGAGAGGGGTGGCCATGTCACAAGTCCTCCTCCATTCTCCTCTTTGGATCTTGGGCATGCATGCACATGCACCTGGTGTGAGTTTTAAGTTGCTGGGTCCAGGATTCAAACTGGAGGTTGACTGCATGGGAGCCCAGTGAAATAACCATTGTGCCATCTGCTGGTCCCACAAATTTAAATAAATAAGATAAGATAAATCTTGAAGCAAGACTGATTAGTACAGAGCCAAATGGCATCGACTAGATTACAATACTTTACAATATTGCCTTCAGCCTGTAAGAACTGCTGTAAGAAATAGAGACTTGCTAGCTATAGGAATGAATGAATTGCTGTAAGAAACAGGTCTATGACAGGGACAAACGAGGAACTGGTACGAGTACTGAAAGTCAAGGCTATAAAAAAAGGCTGGTTTAATGAGTGAATCTGGAGTGGGTATTGTTATCTTTTCTCATTAGATCAGTAAAAGGTAGTGTGGATTTCACCAATAGGCTAGTCTCTTAAATAGTCTGTCTTCAGCACCTTCATATGGGAATGGTCACCTGTGTCAACAGCTGTGGCAGCTGCTAGCCTAACTCTTTTAGGCGAACAAAAACCTCACCACTTGTATTTCTATATTCCTTTTGTTAATCATATGCATCTAAAACTGTCTTCTTGTTCACTGATGTAGTTAATACAACTTGTAGCTCTCTCAACAAAGGGGTCCTCAATGTGAATGAAGATTTGTTTTGGATAACTAACACGTAAAATCATTATGCTAGTGTTAGCATGAAAGATCACCTAGACTGATATGCACTATAACTCCAAAGACTCTTTTTTTAAAAATTATTTTTAATTTTATTTATTCACTTACTTATTTTGACCAGAGAGACACAGAGAGAGAGAGAAAGTGAGAAAGCAAGCCACCAGGTCCAGGACTTGAATCATGGTTGTTCATATGGGAATGTCTAGCACCTTAACCACCACACCACCTGCTGGTCTCAACTCCAAAGACTTTTGTTGTAGTCTTATTTTTTATTTATTTAATTTTGGGACTTTTTAAATAATTATTTAATTTTTATACTTATTTATTTATTTTGACTTGACGAGCAAAGGACAGAGAGAGAGAAAATGAGAAAGCAAGCTGCCAGGTCCAGGACTCAAATTGCAGTTGGCCATGTGGGAGTCCAGCTACACTACCATATTCTATTTACTAGAACAAAGTGTTCAAGTCAAAAGGAAAATAAAAATGTAACTACACAAAATTCCCATATCCTTCTCTATGTGAGTTGTATAGCTGATGGGCTAGTTCCTTCAAAAAAGGCCAAAATTGGGAACCAGCAGTTAGCGTAATGGCTATGTCACTGGACTCCCACGTAGTCGACCGCGGTTCGTGTCAGAACAAAGTGTTCAAGTCAAAAGGAAAATAAAAATGTAACTACACAAAATTCCCATATCCTTCTCTATGTGAGTTGTATAGCTGATGGGCTAGTTCCTTCAAAAAAGGCCAAAATTGGGGTGAGTGGGTGGCATGGTGGTTAAAGAGCTGGACACTCCCACATGGTCAACCATGGTTTGAGTCCTGGACCTGATGGATTGCTTTCTCATTCCCCACCCCCACCCACCCCTGCCTCCCTGTAGCTCTTCCTGGTCAAATTAAAATAAATGAATGAATAAAATTAAATTAAATAAATAATTCTTTTTAAAAAAAGAAAGAAAAAGACCAAAATTATGGCTCAGTATTAGGTAGTTTTAGCCACATTCATATCTCAACTCTCTCACCACCTTGTTCGTGCGATATCACCTTTTCACTTGTTGTCTTTGATATAGTCTTGCAAATCACCTTGGGTCCTACCTGGACCTCAGGTAAAGTACAGATAAAACAACAGAGGCCAGCCATGGTGGTAGAGCAGTAAAGCAACACTCCGTGAAGCTAAGACCATATGGGAAAAGCCCAGTTTTTGTCCCGAGGTCTCTCTGTGCACGCTGGGCAAACATGTGCACATGCCCATGAGGCTGGGGGTAGGATCACGGCATGAAGACCATGTTAGTGGTGCTTTTCTGTCTTCCTTTCTCTGTCTCCTTGTCTCAGGGAAGTAATAAACTTAAAAAAAAAAAAAAAAAAAAGATAGCCCTGGGTTAGTCCATGCCCATGCATACCAGCTCTTTCCGTAGCCTGGCCAGTTCTTCCTTCTTCTGTTCTTCCTCCTGCTGCCTGGCCTCCTCCAACTGCTGGGCTTTCTGTGCTTCCACCTCAGCCATTCTCTTCTCCAGCTCCTGTCGCTCCTTGGCTCTCTTCTCAGTGGCCAGCTGAAAAGGTTCCTGAACTAGAGAACCAGAGAGGCCCTCTGAGCACAGAAACAGAGAGAATATTGGTATACAAAAGGAGTTAGACAAACCTAGTGTCCCCGGATTGGACAAGTGCCATAGATATGTATGGCAATAGAAAGACAGCTCTGAAGAGGCCCCGTTGGAAGAAAGGTGGAGTAAAACACAGTTCAAAAGTCGTAGAATTTTAACAGTTGGAAGGGTCCCTGCAAATCAACTAGTGTAACTGGAGAAATGCAAGACCCACAGAAATGAAGTAGGCTGCTCAAAACTATGGTGATCTTGAGACAGATGTGGGAGAAGAGTCCAAAAGTTTTATATCTAAGGTTGGCTTCAGGGTAAATTCCAAAAAGATATCCCGAGTCAGCCTCCCTCATTTTCTTATTACTCTCTGGGTGGTAAAGCCTGTAACTGGTGAGGAAATGCCAGCTCCGTCTGCCAAGGAGAAGGCCCAACACAGTCTGTACTTCAATATAGCAGCTGAGTCCAGCAAGGGCAAAGGACTGGGCCCAAGGGAAGAAAAGTTACCGTCTTCTAAAGTCAAACGCTTCTGGTTGACAAGGCATTGTACTAACACAACTGAGTCCCAAGACCCCCACGGGAGGTCTGACAAATCTGCCCAATCCCCCAACAGTATATGTCATACTACCAGCAACTGATTTTTTCTCTTTCTTGGGAATGAAGGGCTCCTGGGAGGTGACAATGTTTGGACGAGCCTTGAAGCAAGCTGCTTCTTTCTGCTGTTTCAGTTCTTCCTCCAGCTATTAGAAAAAAACAACCTGTCAGACAAGCAACTATTTTCCCCAACTATCTTGATAACCTAAGTTCTAATGTTTTTAAACTGCTCTGTCCGTAAAGAGAGATTTTGGGGGGCAGGGGGAGGTAGATTTTTGCCATAGGGCACATGTGCTCACTGGATAAACAGAGACAGAAAGCCAGAAATCACCCCAAAGGCAGGGGTTGGGGGATGTCCATGCCACAATCCCTTCTTCTTTTGGAATTTTGGTCACACACACACACGTGCCTAGCATGAGTTTCAAGCTTCTGGGTCCAAGATTCAAATGGCAGTCAGCCATGTGGGAGTCCAGCGGCATAACCATTATACCATCTGCTGGTCCCAAGAGAGATGATTTATACAGATCTTAAGTTAAAATCTTCCACACTGGGTCAGCAGATGGCATGTGGTGCTAAGATGGCTGGGTGGATCCCACATGGCCAACTGTGTGGGGGTTGAGTGGCCTGAGAAACTTGCCAGGCCCACGTTCCAATGCCCAAAAAGGAGAACTGGAGAAGGAAATTCATTGTGACCATTCCCCATAAAGATTCTTTCTTTACCCTCCCACTGGTATTTAAAAATTAAAAAAGAAAAGATACTTTATCATCTTGCAACATTTTTTTTAAAAAGATACTTTTAAACCCCACTTTAACATTATATGCCATATATGATTCTCTAGGAACAACATGATATCACCTATAAAGTATTCTCTTGCTCAGCGCTCCCCACCCCCACGCCCCCCAAAAAAATCTAACTGGGATTTAATCAAGCCTCTAGATCCAACTACTCATTTACGGAAAGTACAGGAGATAAAGGAACATGCTAAACAGCACCATGGGAAAGCAATTAGCAAAATCCAGATTATGGAACACCTATAGGATAAACGATCCAGTTTACTCAGCAAATAAAATGGAAAGCGGCCCAGCTATATGGGAGACCCACTGCTCACCTGGTGCTTCCACGTCTGTGCCTTCAGAGCCCCTCTCTTGTCAGTCTCCAAGCAGAAAGGCTCAATCTGGGTCACATTCTTTACCTTCTTCTCTGGCAGGTTAATGGTTTCAAAATGAGGCAAGGGAAGAGCCTTGAACTTGGGCACCTAATGGAAAACATAAGATTTAAGATTAAGACCTCCCCAACCAGGAAGTAATAGCTGCTTCAGAATACCTGATGCATCTGGAAAACAAACAAGGTCAGTCTGATTTCAAAGCCACAGTCTAGCAGAGAAGAACAATGGTCTCAAAAGGATATCTAGGTTTTCCTCCCAATATTGCCGATAACAGATAGGAAAGACAATTACACTCCTGGTGCCAGAGGATTATTTAAAGTTTTTTTGCCCTATTTATAGTCCATAGGGTTCTTAGACAGATCGAAAGATTTAATAGTTAAAAATGCTACATAAAAAACTGCTTGAAAGATAGAATAGTTTTATGCTATTTGTGGAAATAGCAACACCTACCTCCCCTTTCTGCAGTTCTTTTATTTTCTTCTCCTTCTGTAATTGACGTTCCTTGTCTCGAGAATCAAAGGAGAAAGGACATATTTCCACAGTTCTTGTCTCTGGGATTTGAGGCTTATAAGGCACCCCAAAATGTGGCACAGGTACAGCTCTTATCACTACTGGTTCTTCTTCCTATGGGAAAACAGCAGTTTAAAAACAAAGTTCCTCACTCTGTTCCACCTCGTCAGAATGTGGAGTCAGAACTACAAGACAAATCATTGATTAAGGCAAATCACTCAACCTCTTAGGTGTCTTAAGCCTCCTTTCCTAACAAAGAGGGATAAGACCTAAGTCATCGACCACCTCGGATGGGAGAAAAATGTGACAACATTTAGTAAAGGATCTAACAATTACCCTTAAAGGCTCTAAATCTTCCCAGAGAACATCGAAAAAACTAAACGAGACCAAAAGGTATAAAATAAAGATCAGGTCTGGTCCTGTGACCTAGCGGTTAAGGAAGCTACATCCCACATAGTTGACTGCAATTCAAATCCCAGCCCCAGTGACTTCGAAAACGTTCCAGGTGCGTGTGTGTGTATGCCCAAAATCCTGACGGGATGGAAAAATGGAGAAGATATTGTGGCATGACCACACCCTACTACGGGTACTTTCCCCCTCTCTCTCTAGCCAGTGCACATATGCTCTGGCAATTAAAAACAAAAACTAAAATGAAAATCAGAAGAAAGGTACTAACCAAACATATACTTTGGCCTCTTCTTTGACCCAGCCTCCAGACCCACTAAAACATGTGACTGGAGTTAATGGTTGCCAAACCCAGAATAGGACCAAGTAAGTTGTTTGGGTTCAAGCTGGTAACATAAGATTACTGTGTATTTTAGTTTCAAATGAACCTATAAAAAGGCTTATGCTTGAGATCTGCTATAAAATTACCCTAACTCTGGATATTTATAGATAAAATAGGAGATGTAATAAGAAACTGGCCTGATCAATGACAGCTTATGTGTTACAATTTCATGAACCATCACCACACAGTCACCTTTGCAACCCTTGAGTTAATGGAGATAGGACCAGGAGGATGTAACTGCTTAGTATGAATTTTAAAAGTTACTCACTGAATAGTGACAATTAACTCAGGCAAAATAAAGTACAAGCGTTAGAAACTTTGATCCATGTTCCAAAGACAGGCTGGCTTTCAATGCTATAGAAACAGATAAGCCTCCAATACCTAACTCCTCCTATTTCTGTAAGTTACACCCAGATTTCACTGAGAGTCAGAAAATTCATACCTTGACCAGCTACTTGCTCTGGAGGGAGCAAAAAGATGATCAAATGCTCATACCCATTCTTTACAGACAACTCTGGAAAGGAGCAGAGATGCCTTTGAACTCCATTAAGTTCAAGAAATGGTAAAGCTCAGATTGACTATGTAGGAAGAAAAGAAGTCCCTGTTCCCAGACAATCACCTCATCTTCTTTGGTGGGCATTCGGATTCTGTTCTTTAATGCAAAGGCTGGTGACTTGGGGACAGTTTACTCACTGAATAGTGACAATTAACTCAGGCAAAATAAAGTACAAGCGTTAGAAACTTTGATCCATGTTCCAAAGACAGGCTGGCTTTCAATGCTATAGAAACAGATAAGCCTCCAATACCTAACTCCTCCTATTTCTGTAAGTTACACCCAGATTTCACTGAGAGTCAGAAAATTCATACCTTGACCAGCTACTTGCTCTGGAGGGAGCAAAAAGATGATCAAATGCTCATACCCATTCTTTACAGACAACTCTGGAAAGGAGCAGAGATGCCTTTGAACTCCATTAAGTTCAAGAAATGGTAAAGCTCAGATTGACTATGTAGGAAGAAAAGAAGTCCCTGTTCCCAGACAATCACCTCATCTTCTTTGGTGGGCATTCGGATTCTGTTCTTTAATGCAAAGGCTGGTGACTTGGGGACAGTGATTGGAAGTACTTTCTTCTCAGGAACACCCTAGAAGGAGTAAGCAATTCAATTAGTCATTCCAGAAGAACCTTCACTAAGCTATGGGAAAAAGATTAAATATCATTTATTTACTTATTATTTACTATAGGGCATGTGCACTCACCAGAGAGAAACTGAGTAAGAGAAGTACCCCCCAGGAGGGAAGGCCACCCCACAATCCCATCAACCACCCCTAGGCTGTGTAAAAAAATTAAATCCCTTTCTTCCTTCCATCCTTTCATTCATTCATTTATTCATTCACTGGAGGGCACATGCACTCATTCATTCATTCAGTATAACACATGTGCACTCGCTGGAGAAGGACAAGAAAGAGAGAGAGAAAACAATAAAGTATCCCCCAGGGTAGAGGTCACACTGCAATTCTATCTCCTCTTGAGATTTTGGTCACACATGCACACGCACATGGGAGTGTTTTAAAGCCTCTGAGCCTCAGATTCAAGCCATATAGTCATCCAGGTGGGATTTGGACACTTTATCTCACCACCAGCTGGCCCTATTCCCTTTCTTAAAGAGAAGTTAGTGTGCCTAGTCACAGTAGTGTGCCCCTGTCCAAGACTGGGACTATGTGGAAGGGTCAGGCTTAATTCTTGAACCAACTTGAAGCTCCTATAATTCTACATATCTAGGAGGCTGGGTAGAGGAATACTACAGCAAGGCTCTGTCAAAAATACCTCCCTTAGAAGGCTAGCTCCATGGCACAGTGACAAAAATACCTCTCTTAGGGTCAGCAGGTGGCATGGTAGTTAAGGCACTGAATTTGCATATGGCTGACTGTGGTTCAAGTTCCGGACCGTGACAGCTTGGAAATCACACAGGGTATGTGTGTAAGCATGCCCGAAATCCCGAGAAGAATGGAGGGGAAGGGATTTTGACATGGGTATACCCCCAGGTGTGTGTATGTATGATGTCTCACTTTCCCTCTCACTGTTTCTGTCTCTTTCCAGTGAATGCACATGTTCTATGGCAAAAACCTAAAAAAACAACAGCATCAAAAATCTCTCTTTTGCAAGCATGCACTTTCTGGCATTAAAAATTAAAAAAAAAAAGGAAGGGGGTACCAGCAGATGGCATAATGGTTATGTAGTGGAATCCCATGTAGTTGATGGTGGCTCGAGTCTCAGTCCCAGAAGCTTAAAACTCATGCCAGGCTCACATGCACACATGCCCCAAATCCCAAGACAATGGAGGAGAAGGAATTGCAGCAGGGCCATTCCCCCTGCTTTCTGTCTCTCTGTCTCGTGCATGTTCCTATAGTGAAAATCTCTTAAAAAAATAAATAACTAAATCAGGGGAAGGGTACAAGTGAGAAAACACACTGAGCAAGGAGCTGGTTTAACTTACCTTTGACAAACCAATGCACAAAAAGAGTTTTACAAAGGTATACCAGGGGCTCAATCTCATTAGTGATTTTTTTAAAATATAAACGGAAATAAAATCTTTTTCACCTCTAAGACTATTATCTCAAAAACTGACTACTACAAGTACTGGCACATGAGAAAAGTGGGCACTCACACAGAGTTGGGTAAATGCACAGGGAATAGACTGGTGCTACCTCTCAGGGATTATCTGTTAAATTCCTGAATATTCAAATCCTTCCAGCCAATATTACACTTTTATTGTAGTGACTGGTGTCGTTTAGTTTAAAGTACACACTTAACACAATATTTTTTTCAAAATAATAAAAAACAGTGAACTCAATTATCTATCAATAAAAGATTTTTTAAAAGAATTATTTATTTTATTTTATTTTATTTATTATTATTAGTCTTTAGCTTGACCAGAGACAGCCAGAGAGAGACAGAAAGGGAAAGTGAGAAAGCAAGCTGCCAGGTCCAGGACTTGAACCATGGTCAGCCACGTGGGAGTTCAGCGCATTTAACCACCATGCCACCTCCAGCCCCAATAAAAAACTGATTAGGGTTAGCATGGTAGCATAAGTGGCAGTGTGGCCTGTGCAGTGGCTGAGGCCACATGAGGCCTGGGTCTAGTTACCAGCTTAACCTAAAATAGGCATGGTGGTATTCACATGTGGTTCTAGTCAACTAGAAGGCTGGGGCAGGAGGATCATCATGTGGGCAGATCCTGTCATAAACACCTCTCTTTCATAGCAGAAAAAAAAAAAAAAAAAAATTAAGTCCTCTTGTAAATTATGGTACAGGTACACAGTATCATATAGTTATCAAAAATAGTAAAATAGAGCTGGCCCTGTACCAGTGCAGTAATGCACTGATCAAAAGAAGCCAGAGCAAGGCCAACAGGTAGCATGGTAGTTAGGGACGCTGGACTCCCACATGGTCAACTGTGGTTCAAGTCCTGGACTTGGCAGCTTACTTTCTTACTCCCCATCCCATCACCATTCTGTCCCTCTCTGGTCAAATTAAAAGAATAAATGAATAAATGAATAAAATAGTTAAATAATTCTCTTTAAAAAAAAAGAGAGAGAAAAAAATAAAAATAAAAAAATAATAAAATTAAATTAAATTTAAAAAAGAGAGAGAGAGAGAAGCCAGAGCCTTCATGGCAACTATGGTTTCCAATCCCTGGCCCAGTCAGCCTGAAATATACCAGACACATGTGCCAGTGTCCAAGATCCAAGGGGTTCCAGGATAGAGAAAGGAGACTGGTATGACCAGACCCGTGGGAGGGCACCCAAATCATAAGCATGTGCACATGTGCATACACTCAATGATGAATAAAGAAAAAAATAAATTAATTTAATTTAGTAAATCCTTATCATTGACACAGAACAGTGTTCTTAATATTGAAGGGCAGGAAGAAGACAAATTTCTGAAACAAAACATCATTTTTGTGTTTTTAAAATGTACAAACTAAAAAAATTAAAGTAAGTAAATATAAAATGTATATAAAGGTTTTCTATAAACATTCTGCAATTCTCACAGAATTCCAATTTTCATAGAACTTATATTCTATCACAAATCCAGCAATTTACACTAACTGCAAAATGGTAGCTCGTGAGTTATTGTTTTTAATGAAGTGTATCGCCTGGTCATTAATATAACAAGCCTGAGACATCTTCAGTAACTTCTTGTTACAGCACCACATTGTGCTCCCGTCTGAGTCTTCATGCCCTACCAAAAGGTCCATATCACCCCCTGCCTGTATTATTATTCTAGTCTTCGCATACAATCTTCCAGTCTCTCATCTCATTCCTGTAACGTAAGCTCTCTATATAGTCAGAAGTATTTTTCTAAAATACACCTCATCATATCACTCCTGACAAAATTCTTTAATGTCAGCTACTGCCTACCTGCAACAGAGCAACAAATTTCTTGGCATGAAATACAAGGCACTTCCTGATCAATTACCCTGCCTGACTCTTCCTGCCTCTTCAGCCTCCCCTCTTTTTTTTTTTTTTCCCTGTACTCTATTGCAGAACAGCCTCACCTCTTACCCCTCCTTACAAACCATTTTCCAACCACAATGAAGTGCTGGTAGCTCCCCATAAGTACCACCAGTTTTCATCTCAATATCTTTGCTGCATTCTCTCTGTCTAAAGTGCCCCAGCTGCTTGAAAGCACAAACTCATCTTTTCAAGGCTTCATTGAAGCATCACATCTACTATAAAGCATATTTTTTTAGAAATTATTATTTATTATTATTATTATTATTATTATTATTTTCATTTGACCAGAGAGAAGGAGGTGGAAAGTGAGAAAGCAAGCCACCAGGTCCAGGACTTGAACCGCACTCTACCATGTGGGAATCCAGTGCCTTAACCACCACACCACCTACCAGCCCCTATAAAGCTTTTCGACAGCTCTCTTTACTCCCAGGACCTACAGCACTGACCCTTTCTTCCTGGTATACAGTCCTATCACAGTATATATATATATACACACACACACACAAAACTTCATTGCACTTAATTTATGTTCATCTCCCCCTGGTAACCTGTGTGTTTCAAAGGTGGAGACTATTTTATTCCATCAATCCCTAGCACCTAATACAAATTTTGGCAAGTATAAGGCATTCCCCAAATGTGTGTTGAATGAATGCTGTTAAGAATGAAGGAACAGATGAGTAACAGAATTTATACCTTGGACTCTAAGAGGATACCTTGGGAGACTTCTTAATCCCAACAATGCCACTACTGCTCAAAACACGTTTGGAATGTCTTTCAAGGAGTGGCCTTCAAAGCCACTTGTTGGACTATGCAAAACAGTTGCTCAATAGTTCCTTCCTTCCTTCCTTCCTTTCTTTCTTAATTTTGCCAGAGAGTGCACACACGGCTCCAGAGAGAGAGAGAAGAAAGCACCTCCCATGGTGAATGGTCGTAATGCAATCTTCTCTTCCACCTCTTCTTCCTCTTTTTGAGATTTTGGACATACATGTACACATGTTGTTTCTCAAGTCACCAGGTCCAGGATTTGAATCGGAGTGTCCAGGCTGCCTTAACCACAAGGCCACAAAGCTGATGCCAATCTTTACTTTTTTCCCCCCAAAGATCTATTTAATTTTATGTGTAATTACTATTTGATTTGCTATAGAGCACACATGCTCACCAGAGCAACACAGAGAGAGAGAGACAGGTGAGGAAGCAAGCTGCCAGGTCCACGACTCCAACCAGTCAGCCATATGAGAGTCCAGCGCTTTAACGACCATGCCACCCACCCGGCCCCGACGAGTGATTTTCTTCAAAATGTTTTGGGCAGTATCATAAACCATGGAAAAGATTCATGGCCTATGTGAAGAGGATGCTGAGTATACTATAAAATTTATTTTCTAAAGAATGCTATTATTTGGGGCCAGCAGGCAGCGTGGTGGTTGAGGGTGCTGGAATTCCCCATGGGTGACCACAGTTCAAGTCCCAGACCTGGCGGCTTGCTTTCTCACTTTCCTTTCTCTCTCCCTCTCTCTCTCTCTCACTCTGTCCCTCTCTGGTCAAATTAAAATTAATTAAGTTAAATAGAAATAATTTTTTTAAATGCTATTATCACTAGCATAGGGAACTTCAATAGTGGACCCTG